GATTTATTGGTAGTGGTGTTATTGTGTGTGGATTCCTCTCCCTTTTTCTTTTGGTGTTTGGTAAAGTGGGTTTATCTATTGCCTATGTTTTTGTGGTTAGTGTATTTATATTCATTAGGTTGAAGTTTTCCTTCCAGTACTTTCTGTAGGGTTGGATTTGTGGATATGTATTGTTTAAATCTGGTTTTGTCATGGAATATCTTGTTTTCTCTATCTATGGTTATTGAAAGCTTTGCTGGGTACAGTAGTCTGGGCTGGCATCCTTGTTCCCTTAGTGTTTGTAGGACATCTATCCAGGACCTTCTGACTTTCATAGTTTCCATTGAGAAGTCAGGTGCAATTTGGATAGGTCTGCTTTATATGTTACTTGGCCTTTTTCCTTAGCTGCTCTTAATATTTTCTCTTTATTCTGTATGTTTGATGTTTTGATTATTATGTAGCGAGGGAACTTTTTTCTGGTCCAGTCTATTTGGTGTTCTGTATGATTCTTGTAGTTTCATAGGCATACCCTTCTTTAGGTTAGGGAAATTTTCCTCTATGATTTTGTTGAATATGTTTTCTGTACCTTTGAGCCATATTTCTGCGCTTTCTTCTATATCTATTATTCTCAGGTTTGGCTTCTTCATGGTGTCCCATATTTCCTATATATTTTGTGTTAAGGATTTGTTGGACTTGAGATTTTCTTTGGTCGATGACTGTATATCCTCTAATGAGTCTTCAACACCTGAGATTCTCTCTTCCATCTCTTGTAAGAACAGGCTTCTAAGTTTATCTCCTGCAAGCACAATAGGACAGCATGTTCAAAGTCAGTGGTCAAGGTGGGAGAAGTTCTTTTCCCAAGAGGCCATTAACTGAGGAGAGAATGGACTCCAGGAGTGACATCAGTTCCTGACATTTTTTCAGGAAAGCTTGGTGCTGTCAGGAGCAATTGTGTCTCATGTCATCAGAGTACTAACATTAAAACATTTAAATGGTGAGCCGGGCGGTGGTAGCGCATGCCTTTAATCCCAGCACTTGGGAGGCAGAGGCAGGCAGATCTCTGTGTGTTCAAGGCTAGGCTGGATCGACAGCCTCCAAAATAATACAGAGAAACCCTGTCTCATAAAACAAAAAAAAAAACATTTAAATGGCATATTCTGCAGATCTATGAATTGTTTAGAGATAATATCTGTGTCTGACTAATGTCATAGGTAAGAAACATGGGTGGTCAAAGTTTGTAATTCTCAGAAACATGATTGTACAATGCCTGAAGCTTCCCAAAATAATTTAGCAAGGACAATGACTTCAAAAAATGTAACTATATACATATATATGAGTCTCACTAATAGAGATAAAACTGAAATGTCTTGACTAGAGTTAGAACTATAAAGTGCAATATGATAAAATATCCAAAGTTGTATCAATATACAAAATTTATATACATCAAGATAGTTTTATATTTGTGTGCAAAACATCATAAACAGAAAGAAGCCCCGAAACAGTCTACGTACAATAATCTAACAATTTAAGGTATCTATAGCTAATAGTTGCTAAAGTTAGCTCATTAGAAAATATCTTAGTCTACCTATATCCCATCCTAACCATACCTTTCCCATCCATACCCTTAAACTTGCCTAAAAGAGATACCCGAGTCTGAGCATCACCCAGCCCTAAACAACTAAAATCAACCCTATGCAGGTGAGTACTATCCTGTAAAGCCAACAGTAGAAAAAAGGGTCATGTTTTCTTAGTATTATTTCTTGCTGAAATGGGATGATAAACTCCATGGGATCCTGTAGGAAAACAAATTAAAGCAGCAAAAGGTTTCAAGAGGACTAGCTGTAACATTTGTAGCTGGTTTCTGTGTGGCAGGAGATGCTTGATTGAAGTTCTTATCTGAAGTTTGGGCCAGGGTGTAATAAGAATAAGAAGGTGCACCATTTCATCTAGCTAGTCTGGAGTTGTCTCAAGCCTTATTGTCCCAAATTGGTTTTAGGGTGGTGTTTGCCAGTTCAAAGGCATCAAGTTGAATCGAGTGGAATCGATGAAGTGGGGCCCATTTTCTTTCCAGGGAGTTCAAAGATTGCTGTTAGGAAATTTTTTGTTCACTGTGGAGGAATTAAACATTAATATCAGTACAGAAAGTTTAACTTCCATAGGCAAACATACAGGGAAAGGTAACAATAAAGATGAAATTAAGAATGAGGAAAATTAGGATTTTAGAGAATACAGAGTTAAGACAGTGTTAGTCCTAGATTTTGTTTTCTTGTGTCTTACACTAATGGCCTTTTGATATGAGACAGAAACTCTGAATTTTATTTAAACAACATGTTTGAATTTGTAGAAGGAGGGCCAAGTCCAACTCCAAAGCCAGGTTTGATTTTTATGTGAATAGGGACTCCGATAGTGCTGGGAAGCAGGGAAACAGAAGACAAACGTTTACTATAAATATTTTACCATACATCAAATTCTTCTTTGTATGATGGTTCTTGCTGTATCTATCCTCTCTTCTCTAGGCATCTACACATGTAGTGTCTTTTTGCTTTTTGGAGATGGGTTTTCCTGTTAAGGCAAGAAGAAAACACTCGCCCTACCTTTGTGAAGTCTCTATGCAACTCGTGGGATATATCTTGGTGAATGACCTATCATTTCTACTCATCAAGGGGTTTCTCCTGTTCAAACTGTGTCTTGATCAACTTTTATGGTACTCAAAGCTTTTCTTCTCCCGTAGAAACAAAGGCAAAATCCCTATCCCAATGTAATACCTATCCTAGTTTCTATACTGAGGTCAATACATCCTTGAAGTACAATGGCTGATTTAGTTCAGAAGTTTTTTTTTCTATTGTCCAGTGTCTTTCTGCAGCTGTTTTTCTTTTCTAATGGTATTAAAGCATTATTTAATCTGTGCTTGGGGAGTCTTTGTTCCACCTGCCTGTTTATAGAGCATTTCTTTTAAAGTGGTATGAGATCAACCACTGCTTGTCCTGTAGGATTGTGTAGTATACCAGCTATGCGTTTTATGTTATAATCGTTAAAAAACTGTTTGAATTTGGAGAGACATGTTGGAGCATTGTCAGTTTTTATTTGTGCAGGTATACCCATAATTATCCATTACTTCTAATAGGTATGTGATAACAGAATCAGCCTTTTCAGAGCTCAGAGCAGTGGCCCATTAAAATCCTGAAAATGTGTCCATTGTATGGTGAACATGTTTTAATTTTCCAAATTCTGCAAAGTGAAACACATCCATTTGCCAAATTTTATTTCTATGTATACCTTTGCCTGCTGTTAATGGAGTGTGGTTCTAGAATGAACAAGTGAGACATTTCTTTTCTATTTCCTAGCTTTGTTACCAAGTGATGGAAGAATCCTTTTTTAAACCTTTGCTATTCACATGGTGTTTTTATGAAATTCTGAGGCCTCTAGCACACTTGCTATTAACAGTCAATCTCATGCTTGCCTTATGCTATAAGATCTGGCAGACTCATGGGATCTGATGTGTTATATATATAGGATGATTCCTATTCCTGATTGTCCAGTTAAGGCTCTGGCTATCACCTAAGCTTACCCTCCAACCATTTCTCCAAGAAAAATGAGCAACATGTACATCAACCACAGTTATTCCCAGAAGTTATTCACCATTACACTTCAGAATGTCTCAAAAAAAGAGCTATGGTAGTCCAACTGTCAGGTCACACAACTGATCCACGGAAACAATACAGACCATATATAGAACCCTTTGTTTCCCCGCTAATGATCATAGGGAACTCCTTATAATAATATAGGAACAAGCTAAGCAGAGAAAGCAGTATACCAGGATTGAGGGGCATGGATACTTGGACAATGTTTTTCATGGAATTTATTTGTGCCTTCAGGGTTGTGGTGCTTTGAATGAGAATGGCCCCCCACCTTGTTTGGTGACTATTAAGCATAACATAGTTGCTAAATGACTATTCTTGTCATTCTGAGAAGTATAGAGAGGCAGTTGGCTTCTGATGGCGAGGTTTATCATGGGACAAATGCCAAGTTTCTTCTCATACTTCATGGCAGTGTTAGGCAAGCCCCATGCTATTTGGAGCCAGTACTTTGAGTACCATCTTTTTACCACATACCTTGTATCTCAGTGCTTCTATTGCTGTGACAAGACACCATGACCACAGCAACTCTTATAAAGGAAAAACATTTAATTGGTGTGGCTTACAGTTTCAGAGGTTTAGCCCATTATCAACTTGGTATAACATGATGGTGTGCAGGCAGACATGGTGCCGGAAAAGGAGTTGAGAGCCCTGCATCTTGACTTACAGGCAACAGGAAGTGATCTTAGATACTAGGCATGGCTTGAGCATATATGAGACCTCAGAGCCCACCCCCACAGTGATATACTTCCTTCAACAAGACCATACCTCCCCCAGCAAGGCCACACCTCCTAATAGTGCCACTGCCTATGAGCTTATGGGTGCCAATTACAGTTGTATCACCACACTTTCTTTTGATTGGCACAATGCTGTACCTAGTAAAAGCTGAGGAAGGATTGTAAAAGATGACTGTCTGGTCTCAATAAGAGCATTGGTGGAATTCCATTCGTACTAGAATTCATGTCTAAACCATTATGTCCATTTTGTAAAAACTCGCGTCTCTGCTGCTTACGGCTTTTCCTGGTTTTCAGGAGAACGCCATTCACTGTTGTCCATGAAAGTGGCTTCTTTGCTGTATCCAGTTGCATAGTAGTGGGCTCTGGACACGCCTCGGTCTAACACTGCTCGTCTCACAGGTGCTGGATGGTGGTGATGGCACTTGCTCTTAAAACCCTCCTGACGGTGTATTTCTCAAGTCTTGCAAATAGGTTTATGGAGGAATACATTTAAACTTAGCCCTTTTGAAAAGAATCCCCTATGCATTTTTGAGGGGAAGGTAAAGAAACACATGGATTTACCTAAGTGGGTGCTTTTATGAAATTTTGGTATATTGCATATTTCAGTCATTCTTCCATTATTTTCACCACGTTTCTGTTTCTATAATAGATGATTCAACACGTGTTCCTCTTGGAAAAAACAAGAACTACATCAATGCTAGTTACATTAAAATAGTAAATCATGAAGAAGAGTATTTTTATATTGCTACGCAAGGACCAATGCCAGAAACTATAGAAGACTTTTGGCAAATGGTTATGGAAAATAATTGTAATGTTATTGCTATGATAACCAGAGAGATAGAAGGTGGAGTTATCAAGTGTCACAGTTACTGGCCCATTTCTCTAAAGGAGCCATTGGAATTGAAACACTTTCGCATCCTTCTGGAGAACTGGCAAATAACTCAATATTTCATCATTCGGGTATTTCAAATTGTGAAGAAGTCCGTAAGTCTGAAAATGCTGCTGGTAGATGCATGTTTTATGATATAAGCTGATGTGTTATGACTGGGGTGGAGTATATACTAAGGGTATGCCGTGTTTTGTTGATACTACTGGGAGATCTGTTCTTTTCTGAAGGGAAACAGGAGCTATGGATCTGGGGGAGAGGGGAGCAGGGGTGTTGGGAGGAGTGGAGGGAGAGGAGGCTGTGATTGGTATGAAGAATAAATAAAAAGAAAATAAAAAAGAACGTTTGACAGTGGTGATGGCACATGCCTTTAATCCCTGCACTCGGGAGGCAGAGGTAGGAAGATATCTGTGAGTTTGAGGCCAGCCTGGCCTACAGAGAGAGTTCCAGGACAACTAGCGCTACATAGAGAGACCCTGTCTCTAAAAGAAAAAAAAAAGTAACTTTTTATCTCTTTTTTCCTAGAAACAAAGCTATGATTTTTCAGTTATGCTTAGCCAAATTTTGGAGAGAAAAGAAAATGGAAAGGGGAAAAGCAGGGTGGCAGGGTGGGTACTAGATATTGCTGGTCCTCTGATGACTTCGGTGGCTTCTGTCAAGTATGGCAGCCATGCAGTGAGTTTGTCAAGGGTGCTCACTACTGCTGGACTCTAGTGCTATGCAGTGAACAGTGAGGTAATCTGTATTCTCCCATCCTTGATCTGTTGTGCTAAGTGACAATGCCAAGACTCACATGTGGTGCTTTGGGAGCTGAGATGGGAAATACTTAGTGTTATCTGGAGTTTGAAAAAAGGACTCCTGAAGGTAACATCACACCTGGATTGTGAAGGCTCTAGATGAGAATGAAAGAAAACAATTGAAAAAGAGAGATATGAATAAGTTAAATGCCACGAGCATAAGTTTGTTCATTAGGAAGGAACAAAGGGGAATAAGTGTGGCTGTAGATGGAAATCGGGAGCAGCTAGAACATGAAATGCCCTATTTCTGCAGAACAACAAGGAATTTATGGCTGGTAACTGGGATGAAACACCCACAGATGGGATTGTTGTTTGTCTTGTTTTTAAGTAAAACCACCAGACTTACCAGGGGCTTAGGACTTGTGACTAAGACACAAAGAGGATTTTGAAGCCATGCTGATCATGCATGAGTTTGGCTGCTGTGCCAGAATCCTTCTGAATGTGTCAGAAGGAAGGTGGTAGCTTAGGGTTTGGAAGGCATGCATTCAAATCCGAGTTCTACAGTGGACGCCTTGTGGCCTAGCATATACTTCCCAGCCCTCCCAATTCTGGCCTCTAAAAATAGCACTTTTACCTTAGAATGCTACAGGGATTAAATTAGATAACCCATGGGACGCTCCTGCCACTTCACCTGGTGAGGATCAAGTGTTGGATTACTGCCTCCTAAGAGCACTCTTGTTTTTATTGTTTTCATTATTGTGTTCTACTTTTTTTTTTTTTTTTTTGGTTTTTCAAGACAGGGTTTCTCTGTAGCTTTGGAGGCTGTCCTGGAACTCATCACTTTGTAGACCAGGCTGGCCTCGAACTCACAGAGATCCGCTTGCCTCTGCCTCCCGAGTGCTGGGATTAAAGGCCTGCGCCACCAACGCCCAGCGTGTTCTACTTTTTTAAATGGAGAAAAGCTGGTTCTGAAGCTAATTCTGGCAAATTGCAGAGTTTCTGTAAATATCAAAATTAGTACTCTGAGTGCTCTGTATACCATGTGCATGATCTATACCATCACAGTCAGTCATTGTTGGTGATACATTAGGAATGGATGGAAATGAAATCTGTAACACAAACATCAATAACCCTCTCTGTGTCTCTCTAACAGACAGGAATGAGTCACTGTGTAAAACACTTGCAGTTCACCAAATGGCCAGACCATGGCACTCCTGCCTCAGCAGATTTTTTCATAAAATATGTCCGTTATGTGAGGAAGAGCCACATTACAGGACCCCTGGTTGTTCACTGCAGTGCGGGCGTAGGCCGAACGGGGGTGTTCTTATGTGTGGATGTTGTGTTCTGTGCCATCGAGAAAAACTATTCAGTAAGTGTGCGATGAAGCAGATGAACTGATTGATAACTTTGTCTGAACACGGTTCTTAACAGCCTAGTGTCCTGAAAGACTGGTCTGGACCAGCGTAGCACATCAGGTGCTCAGTAGCTTAGGAGGTCTGACTCTCACTGGGCTTGATACAGTCTCCTGGCAATGGTGGTGAGGAACAAGTGTATTATATAAATAATTGGCTAGGATAGTATAGGAATGGATACTAAGTATTTATTCATTTCCTTTCTTTGTGTGGCTCTAATGGCTTCAGTATTTTGCTCGGTAATTTCATTCTACAAAATATAAGCAGTAAGTCACATTAGTGCTACCATGCTTTGACTTTATAGTTTAGAACTAGGTGCATTTGTCAGCAGTGCAAACACAGCTTGACAAGAGTGAAACTCGTCTGTGGTGGCATGCTCCTCTCAGACATACACAGACCGAATCACGGTTGGTGTTTCCAGATGCATTCACTACCAGCAATAGTGTCACTCCTCATTAGCCAGTTCTCAAATGTATCATCCTAGAGCATCATTAAAATAACTGTCTTTTGCCATCTGTTTACCAAAATCTCAAAGAAAGAAATCAGTAGTTTTAACCAGTTTTGATGACAATATATTTTTTTTATTGTTAACAATTCAAACCCTATTTTGTAAGAAGTCTGCTGAGCAGTAATGTGTGAAATCTCCTTTTGTTGGCTTTATAATTTAATACTCTATAAAATAGTCCTTTTGTTCTTATAAAAACATTCTTCTTATTATGAATGGCTATTAAGTTAATGGTTCATTGTTAGCCAGCACATCTTTGTAAATAATACAAGTGTGGTTTTAGCAAGCAATAATTATTATAAAACTCAGTTATAGGAGGAGTCTCAATTCCTCTAGAATTTGCATGAACTCTTTTAGTTTTCATTTCTTCTTAGTCACTTAACATTTTTTGTTGTTCACAGTCAAGCCTTGATGCAGAGGGGAGGGGCTTGGTCCTGCCTCAACGTAATGTACCAGGCTTTGTTGAGGCCCCATGAGAGGACTTAATCCTTTGGAAGAGTGGATAGGGGGAGGTGGAGGGGAGCAGAAGGATAGGAGGGAGGGGAAACTGTGGTTGTTATGTAAAATGAATAAAAAAATTAAAATAAAAAATTGGAAAAAAGATAACTCAGCAAAGCTTTTGCCATCAATAAATTAAGGTTGAGAACTGCAGATTTATTACCATAATTTTACCTAGCACTAACTTATAATTTAAAAGTTTCTAAATAGATAGAAATTTTAATTTTAATGATTTCTCCTTAGTTTTTCTTTTTGTGTATCATGTTTCAAATATTAACTCTAGGAACTTTATTCTGAGGAAACTTTCCACTGTTTTCCAAGAATTCAAGTTTTATATTTTGTACCTTAGTCCATACTCCATGTTGGCCATGTAAAGCATAAGATTTTGGTTGGGATTTTACCTATTTATTTATTGAGTATGGATAACTAGTCATTCCAAGATCATTGTTGAAAAGATTATTCTTCCTACATAGAATTACTGATATACCTTTATTTAAAATCATTTGGAGTATTCCCATGGGACTATTCTGGCTCTGTAGTCTGTTCTATTATCTATGTGTCTTATTTTACTGCCAGTATCAACTTTTGGATCTCTGTAACTATCTAAAATATCTAATAATTTTTTTTGGTTTTCTGAGACAGGGTTTCTCTGCATTGTTTTGGAGGCTGTCCTGGAACTCACTCTGTAGACCAGGCTGGCCTCGAACGCACAGAGATCCTCATGCCTCTGCCTCCCGAGTGCTGGGATTAAAGGCGTGCACCACCACCACCCGGCTAAAATATCTAATATTATATAAATTATTCCTTATACTTTATTTATACATTTAAAAATTGTCTTAGCCAGTTCAGAGTCTGTGTTTTCAAATAAAAAATTTATTACTAGTTTGTGTCTTAGTTAGGATTTCTGTTGCTGCAATAAAACGCCATGACCAAAAACATCTTCAGGAGAAAAGGGTTTATTTCAGCTTACAGTTCCATGTCACACACAGTTCATCACTGGTAGAAATCTGGCAGAAAGAAATTCAAGACTGGAACCAGAGGCAGGAGGAGTGCTGCCCAGGGATGGCGTGACCGGCAATGGGCTAGGCCTTCCCACGTCCATCACTGGTCAAGAAAGTACACCACAGGCTTGCTTATGGGCCAGTCTTATGGAGGCATTTGCTGAGTTAAGAGTTCTTTCCAGATATGTCTCTAACCTCTGTCAAGCTGACATAAAACTAGTTAGCATGGCTTGCCTGACGGGATTGTGGTAAAAATTACTTGAAGTCTATATATGAATTTTTTGGGAGAACTGACATCTTTCCTCTATTTAATCAACAAATCCATGAACATACTATGTATTTCTTCATTTGTTAGGCCTTTTTTGCATTCTTTTGTAAGAATTACATAAGTTTTTGAATATAGACTGTTTATGTGTCTTGTTAAACTTATCCTATCTCATGTTCTTTGAGGAAATTATAAATCTGTTATTTTCACACATTTATTGCAATAAAAATGAAATGTAGAAATGCAAGTGACTTTTCATGTGGATTTTATGTCCTGTGACCTTGTCAAGCTCATTTATTCAGAGAGTCTTATTTATGGATTAGTTACTTATAGATGAAAGGCAGGCTAAAGATTGGTAGAAAATACTTGCAAACTATGTATCCAAGAAATCCCATGCATCTGGAATGCATAAAGAACCCTGAAAAACAATAGCTACAGTCACTACCGTGCTTGCCATGTAATCATGAGGGCCTGAGGTCAGTCTTCAGAACCCACATAAGAAGTTGAACACGGTGTCACTTGTAATCCTAGCATTTGGGAGGCAGAGATAGGTGGATCCCTAGAGATCATTGATGAGCCAATCTAGCCTAATTGTTGAGTCACAGGTCCTGGAAGGAAACTGTCTAGAAAAATAAGGTGGAAAACTCCCAAGGGACGAGACCTAAAGTTGGCTTCTAGATTCTAAATGTACATGGACCTGCACATACGTGAACACACACACACACACACACACACACACACACACACACACAAACACACACACACACAAAACCCACAAAAATATGAGGGATTATGATTAAAAAAATTAAAATATCATGTCAGCATGGCCCTATTAGCATGTGTGTACTGCACTTGCACCACACTGACTTTCCAGATGAGTTGCCTGCACCTGGGCGGGTTCATAGGCTGTTCAGCTGGTCACTCTCAGCAAGGGTCCACCACCAGTGTCCAGTTGCTGAAGAGTCTCTAGATTCTTCAGGCTTCTGGACACATGTCATTGTGGACTAACAGTAGACCTTTGTGACTTACAGTCAGTTGTCACCTGTTGTGCAGGTGCACACTACTGTGTTTCGTGACTGTTGCTAAGGTCTCTATTTGAATTGTCAAGGCTCTTTATATAAGAAACAGCTATGTTCCTGTGGCCAAGGAAGGTCTTCTGTGCTTGTCCAGAATTTTACTGTCTCTTTGAGTTCTCCCTTTGTTAGTATAAAGGGGATAATTCCTTTGGGATCATTCTTCCTCATAAATGATGGTTTGCTTCTTCCCCTTGAAAAATCGACTAAAACAAGTCTTATTCATTAGGCTGGTCTTTAAAACATGTTGTGACTGCAAAGGAGACCTTTCTAGTTACATCTTGACATTTATTTTATTAATAAATTTATTTATTTTAAAAAGGTATAGAGTACTCCTTGGCAATCTGTGTATTTGTGTTTTTCCACTGTCTGGATAATTCAGTTACTGCCATCTCATTTCAGTTCAACATTATGAACATAGTGACACAGATGCGAAAACAGCGTTATGGCATGATCCAAACAAAGGTAGGTGCTCCTCTCATACATCTAATAAGAACAGTCAAGACAGAGATCAGCATTCTGTAGCACTTTACAGTTTTTACTGTTCCGCGTAGACATTGGTGGAGTTGCTTTACTCTGATAATCTTGATAAAGTACACTAGAGTTTGTTCCATGGGTTACCCAGGGAGCAAGGGGAGGAGTTGGCATTAAAACTGACGTCACAGCCTTAGCCATAATGCCATGCTGCATAAACAGTGTATCTAATTTTATTACTAAGTTTGTAGACAGTAATATGAAATGTGTCCTTGTTTCTATCTGTCTGTCTTTCTGTTTTATCTGTTGGTTATTGGCATGTTATGAAAAGATACTTTTTATATCATATATTAGTTTGTAATCACCAGGAGAAATAAAGAGAATATTTATAATAAAAACAGTTGCCTCTGAACTGATATGTATTACTATATATCATATATGTATACTATATGTATACTAAACATAGGGATATATTTGATTATATATTTACATAAATGTTGTATGCATTTGAAATGTTAGAATTACATGAGAGACTTACAGAATTAGATTTCGATTTGCTAAAGAAAATATAAGGAAACAGATGCTGTTCAGATACTTGCCTTTTAAAGAGTCCTAGACTGAGACATTTATTTTAATTATTTATGTTCTTCATTAATTTAAAATAGATACTTGCTTAAAGAAGCTTTCAAGTGTTTGTAGATAAACGTTTGTTCTTTGAGGGTAATTTTCTTATGTGACTGAAAAAAATTACAAATATGTTCTCCAAAGGAGACACTGGTGACGATTTACTTACCATTGTGCTGTTTCTGTGTGTGTGTAGGAGCAGTATCAATTTTGTTATGAAATTGTGCTTGAAGTTCTTCAGAGTCTTCTGGCTTTGAGTTAAGAGAGACTCTGCGCCTCTCACTTGAGATTACAAGAAGCTCGTGCTGAAGGGTCCACTGGCCATGCAATTTGCCTCGGATTTTCTCTCTGAAATCTCCTGGAGGCAACGTCGCTGGGCACAGAAGGGACTCTTTTCACTTGATCCATCCTGGACAGAAGCAAAATACCCTCCCATGGTTTTCAGTGCAACAACAGTTACGTGAAACAACCTCAGTTTAGCTGTTTGGTTTAAGGGATTAGAGAGTTCAATAAAAGACTTAAATGTATTCACTAAGATTTTATTTGGAAGGGTGGCCAAAGGCCTCAGAAGATTTCTAAGTCTGTACAAGCCTTACTCTGGGAGAAATCGGGGCCAATAAACTGCAGGTTCATATCTTGACCTCTCAGGGCATTTTGCAGACATATTTGTCTGTATTCTTTAAAGAAGCTATTGTCCATACTTCCAGTTGGTAATTGAATAACTCAGAATAGATTGGTTTGTGTGCCTGTGTTTCCATGGTCCCAGAGTGCACTAGGGATTTCAAGGAAGAGACACCATTCTGGAACAGGCAGGCCCTTGTCCTGCTGCCCTGGGAAACACCTAGTGGGTGAATAGAGTCCTTCGACGCCCACACATGAACACACTGGTGAACAGCCCCAAATGAAAATACTCGTCTATCTGGAAAGTCAGTGGAAATATTTGCCAGGCCCAACTAGACTTCTTTCCTTTCCTGCCTTGATAGTTACCTACCATTCTGTCTGCTTTATCAGAAGCAAGTGTTATGTGGTACTTGCCTCTTAATCTTTAGCTAACCAATAAACTTTAATATAATGATATTGCTTTGGTTCCTGTTATACCGAATAGTTTTTTTTGAAACTAAGATCTAAGAGAAGGTTTTTTTTTTCTTTCTATTTTTTCCTTTAGAGGGCCATTAAGTCATTTCTTTCCTCTGCAGAAAGAGTTAGATGCTGGACATTGGAACTAGATTTTGGAAAACTAAATTCATAGATGTGAAAGTGAAAACTTCTTATTGTTTTTTTAAAAAAACTGTCTAGCCATTATTATACTCATCATATCAAGATTCTGCCTCAGACAATTATAGTGATTCCTTGTTAAGGGGTTTTGGTGATCAGTCATTCATAATTATAAGACACAAAGCAATTGATAAGTGTATTTGTACAGTGAATTCAGTAGTGATCAGAGCTATGAATCATATTGAAAATTCCTAAAATTATAAATCTTAAACTTCTAAGAGGCATATTGCTTTGGTTAAATGAATACTTGAATTTGTTGAATTAGAATTGATAATTCTCACTTTAAAAATAATTACATGGCATAAATTTGACTCAACTCAAGTTGATGATTATAGCTATTTATATTGTTTATATACATAATAGTTTATGCTGAACAATATTATCTTGATTATTGGATTTTAATATTTGTATTTTCATTCTGTTACTATAAGAGAATAAGCATAATATAGAACAATGCTCCCAAGATGGACTGTATGTTGTTATTAAATGAAAATCTTTACTATGTATTGCCTGAAGTATTTTTATTTATCAGGATCTTGTGATTTCTTGTGTAGAAACATTCCCCATGTCTTGATGAGCATGCTCCCTTTTTAATGTGTGTCATGTTTTTACAGCTGGACTATTTTGAGTTTTCCAGGGAATTTAAGTAAGTAAACTTGGAAGTACTGATTAAATTTGTTTTCATTTCATTCTCGAAGGTGAACTTCAAGGTAAAAACTTGCAATTAATTGGAACCCTAACTTCTGTACTAGTGTTGAGTCATTCTCCACCTAGGAAGTGAGTGTGCAACTCACATTGACACCTCTGTGAGGGTGGAAAAGCTGAATTAGAGAGACCTATAGAATATTGATGTATAAGCATAGTTATAAACTTTCAGCTTCAAGTAAATATTTTAATGATGCTTAAGTAGTAGACCAAGGCTTTTCAGAAGTAAGTACTACATATTTTACCCTCACTGGTTTTGCTAATTTATTTTTCTTTCAATCTTTTCACTCTCAGTCTATCTATAACATTCAACTTTCAATGAAATTTACATTTATGACTCAAAAGCCATTTCAATGATTTATTTTATTGGAAAATCTCAAAGGAAAACACCTTGAAAAACTTAAAATGAAATTTCCATTTCCTACTTAGCTTTTCTAAGCCCTGGAAAGACTTAGTTTTCTTCTGTGTTGTCTTAAGATTTGAAAAATTGAAGAAGAGTTGGAATGTGTCCACTCAGCAAAAACTGGTCACTGGACTCGGGAGGGAAGATGGATGTCTCAGAGCACTCAGTTAGTCTAGAGTTATGATCCAGAAGTAGGAGCAATGACTTTGTTATGAAACAGACTGATTTGGAGGCTATTGTAAAAACTATCCAGTACAACTATCTTCTCTAAATGTTGACCGTGGCGAAGAACAGTTTTAGAAAAATCACATTGTATTTGAGAATGGAAAAGTAGAACCCATTAACAAAGCCATCAGCACTATCACTAAGGGGTCAGCTGGTGATAGTGTAAAAATACAAAATACAATCTCTTCTGTTAATGTTGGACAGTTAAAATGACTTTTTTGCCTTCATATAAAAATAATAGTTTACTGAAAATTATATTAGAAAATATATTACAAAGTCAGAATTCAAGGCACCTTTGTAAAATGTGATCTTTCTCTACAGCTATTGAGATATCTTTAGATAGCTCACCATAGCCTCCTTTTATTTGTAATGTTGTAGGCTCATTCGCTTACAAATTGTAATCCACAGCTGCTTTTATGCTGAAATAGAAAGGGCTGGGTTATTCATATTACAGGGATCATGTGATTCAGGTATTTACTGCCTGGCCCATTTAAAGAGGAGTTTTGCCAACCTCCTCTGTATCACAAACAGAAAGGTATAAACATAAAAAAAGCTGTATAAAATATTTTTGTAAGATGTAGACATAATGGCACACGCCTGTAATCTCAGCACTCAGGAGGCAGAGGCAGGCAGATCTCTGTGAGTCCGAGGCCAGCCTGGTCTACAGAGTGAGTTCCAGGCTAGCCAGGGCCGCACAATACCGAAACAACCCAAGATTAAATGTAGTAAGAATCGAGCAGTTAATGATCGTGTTCTAGATGACAATAAATTCATTAAAGAGCCAAGATATTTTTTTGAAAAAGAAAGTTGATTGTGATGAAAGGAGAGTAATCAATTTATGGTGGAAAAGTCAAAGTGATTTAAATTATGATTCAGGTAGGAATGTAGCTCATTGGTAGAACATTGGCCTAGCACATGTGAGGCCCTGAGTTTGATCCATAACACTAGAAAAAAAGAATGTATGAGTGTGTGTATGTGTATGAGTATGTGTGTATGTGTGTGTGTGTGCATGTACTTGGCTGGTGCATGCCACAGTGCATGTGTGTATGAGTGTGTGTGTATGAGAGTGTGTGTATATGAGCATGTGTGTGTGAATGTGTGTATGCATGTGCTTAGCTGGTGCATGCCACAGTGCATGTGTGTGTATATGAGTGTGTATATGAGTGTGTGTGTGTGACTGTGTGTGTGCATGTGCTTGGCTGGTGCATGCCACAGTGCATGTGTGTATGAGTGTGTGAGTGTGTATGAGTGTGTGTGAGTGTGTATATGAGTGTGTGTGTGTATGTGACTGTGTGTGTTCATGTGCTTGGCTGGTGCATGCCACAGTGCATGTGGAGGCCAGAGGGCAGCTCTCAGCAGTTAGTTCTCTCCTTCCACTGTGTGGGGCCCAGGCACTGAACTCACATCATTAGCCTTGGCAACCAATGCCTGAAACTGAGCCACCTCACCACCCCACATCCATTTGTGTCTTTAAAAAATGTTATAAAGTGAGTGTTTGAAGTCCAAAATTTAATGGCTAAAGCAGATAGTGATATATCTGATGATACTAAAAAGATAGGCAAATTTACATCAAATTATAGCAGATTATACATTCTTTTGAAGTGTACAGGATATTCTATAAGAATAAATTTATCTCAGTAAATTAGAAAGAATAATATTAATATATAAATATGTTTATGGCTTAACTAAAGTAATTTTCAAAATATTCAGAATATTTACATGTTTCTTTTTACACTTATTTTTTATTTTGTAAGGAGGGTGGCACATGCGTCACCTTTGGTGGCCTGGCTGCAGAGCCACTTATAAGATGTACTGTGTGATACTCTTTCTTGGGTAACATATCCAGACATTTACTTTCCCCAGCAGGGCAATTGATGACTGTCTTCAGCAGGCTTTCTACTGTTGTGGAACAGCAACTCTTATAAAGGAGAACACTGACAGTTCATAGGGTTAGTCTATCATCATGGCAGGAAGCATGGCAGTGTACAGGCAGATGTGGTGGTGCAGAAGGAGCTGAGAGCTCTTGTATCTTGACCCACAAGCAACAGGAAGTAGTCTGAAATATGCATAGCTTGAGCATATGAGACCTCAAGGCCCACTCCCACAGGGACACACTTCCTCCAACAAGGCCAACCCTCTCTAACAAAGCTATACCTCCTAATAGTGCCACTCCCCTTGAGCTTTTGGGGGCCAATTATGTTTCAACAATCACAATGACACATCAAAATGATGATACTATTCAAGTCTTACCTGGTAACCAATGAGTTTACTGGCGTTACTTTCAGGAGTATGGGTATGGAATTCTTTATAGTAGTGCAATCTACTCAAAGTCAACTGTATTATCCAAAGTCTACCCTAGCATGGGTGAAAACTGGTACTCTGCGTCTCTCAACTTGATTTGCAGGCATCTTGACCAAGGGAGCAACCTTGTGAACCTGCTAAGTTTCAGGAATTTCCTGAGACTTGTGTTTTGTTTACTTTCTGAGTAGTCAGGAACATCCCTACAGTAGAATGGTTCAGTTTAGAGGAAATTACAAAACCAGTGTCTACCCCCATTTTATTCTTTCATCTATGCCTCCCAAGCTCTATGCTGAAGGACTTCTCTTAATACACACTGGCAACTTGCAAATATTCACTGGAAAATGTGGTGGTCTCATTTGAAGGTGGTGACTAAACCTGAATGTATAATCATCAACAGTGGAAGGGGCCATGGACTATCAAATATAAAACAATGTTTATAAAACATTTTACCAAGTTTATAAAAAGTACTTAAGATTAACAAGAATTGGGGGCTTGGTGAAGTATAGTTCTTTTAACAGAGTCCCACAATTAGGATGAATCTTAGAACAAAATTTGAACACAACAGACAGAAAAGAGGTGAAGGGGAAATCCAAATAGAGGAGAGGAGAGCAGAGTCAGAAAAGCCCAGACAGTGAGTTCATTGACGTTGCAAGAGGTACATAACAAATTCACTGGGGGGGGGTTTAATAATGAAATGCCCTGTGAGTAAGGGAGAGGAAAGCAAATGAAACCCATGCTCAATATCAGATTGGGAGGGCGGCTGGCTACAGGTGGGCTGTTCCTCTATAAGATCTGGGTCCATCATACTGAACACTTGGCACCCAGTTGGTGGCGCTGTTTGGCGAGCTTAGGGAACCTTTAGCACCTGGGGTCTTGCTGGAGGAAGTATTCACAGGGTGGCAACAGGGGCAGGTCTTTGAGACTTTATAGACTCACCCCATGTCTTCTCTTTGCTTTCTGTGCACAAATTGAATATAATCAGCCAGCTTCCTGCTCCTGCTGCCATGCTTTCCCTGACATTATAGATTCTTCTGGAATTGTAAGCCCAAATAAACTCTTCTATAAGTTGCTTGTGGTCATGGTGTTTTGTAACAGCAGCACAAAGGTCACTAAGACCACTAGCACCTAGATAACTGGTTCTAAAGACAGAAAGCAAGGATTCAGAACAAATACAGTCACTCAAAAACAGCTTTGAGCAATCATTCAAACAGTCCTGAAATGCAAGATTACAATCTGTATAGTGAAGTTTTATAGTACACCCTTGAGGATAGCACACAAGCGAAAATAAATACCAAAGATTTTTCTAGCGAAGCTATTGCTGTTTGAAACAAACTGAAAATTCTTTGGGTATCTATTAAAAAAGAATGTGATAGGAAAACTAGATTACTGTGTCAGTCTTTTTGATAGTAAAGGTTTATAACAAAAAGAGATATAAAGTTATTTCTAATGAGAGATTAAGAGCCAAGGATTTGATCTTAGAAGACTGACATTCATGTACAAGTGTTGTGGGAGAGAATCATTCCTGAAAGCCATTCCTTTGTACAACTCAACAAATACAGGTGCCAGCTTGCTACTCATTTTCAATGTTAAAAATGGAGTCCAGATCGGAGTGGAGATTGGGTGGGGGACTGGGGGGGCCTGGTGGGGAGGGCAGGGGAGGAGGGGAGGGAGAGGGAGCTGGGATTGATATGTGAAACAAGCTTTTTGCTAACTTAAATTTTAAGAAAGTATAAAAACAAAAACAAACAAACAAAAAAAGACCAAGAATAGCAGGAAATTGCATTGACACTACCTTACAGCAGAAGAAAACATACAACAGTCATTTGTTAGGACTGAAGCCTTGTCCGCTACAACTCAAGTGCCGTCTC